AAATAGGTTAAGTAACTTTGATTTAACTTTTACTTTCGCAGTGAGAACTGCTAATGTTGGTAGATATTCAGGTGGTCTAGTTTACGCATTAAATCGTAACTCTCATTTTATAAGCGATGTAACTTTTGTAAACTTTGAATATTTTAATGTGGTTAGGCTCGACAATATTGTTGTTGGCTGCGAGCAATTGTTTATAGTGCCTGTTTAACTAAATTTCAATTGTTGGCAAATAGATTATAATAGGCTTCAAAGTTTCTTTGATAATAGCTGTTTCCAGAATATAGTCCTTATAGGGGATTTAAATGGGCGTATTGGAATAGAACAGAGTTTTTCTGAAAATATAATTAGCATTTCGAATAATAGGATTGGGGACATTAGACATTCAAAAGACAACATTTTAAATTCAAATGGACGTAAAATATTAGATTTGTGTGACAATTTAGGATTAGTAGTTTTAAACGGAAGGTCCATAGGGGACAAAGAGGGTGAATTTACTTTTGTTGGACATAGGGGTAACTCAGTCATAGATATAGCAGCGGTCACTTTTAATTGTTTACATTCGATTCACGACTTCAAAGTTGTTGGTTTTCCCGGATCAGATCATATGCCAATAGAAGTAAGTTTAAATGTAGAGACTCCTGGGCCTGTGGGAGGGGGTGCAGGGGAGGGGAAAATTATACCATTGTTGCCAAAGCTGAAATGGACGAATTTTGATTGTCTGAACTATACTAGCAAAGTTGAGGAAAGTATGAAATCTTTTTCGCCGCAAACTGTTAATGATGTATTAAATGTTATAACTAATTCTGCACATTATAAGCTAGGTTCAAAGAGTAATACACCTTTTGTTGGTAAACAACCTTGGTTTGACTATCACTGTTTAAACGCCAGAAAGAGAGTGTTTAAACTGTTACAGCTTTTTAGACAAACCAATTCAACTGAAATAAAGGCTAAGTATGTTGAGGAGCAGAGGAAATATAAACAGCTATGTACAGGAAAGAAGAACGAATACAACTATTCTTTAATCTCAACTCTTACTGTGTCTAAAGATTCCAAAACGTGTTGGCGAGCAATAAACTCGTTTAAGTGTAAAAACAACATAAACCGAGTAGGAAATATAAAACCTGAAGAATGGGTTACACACTTTCAAACTTTACTAAATCCTCTGGTGGAGAGTACTATCTCGTTTGCAGAACCTTTTATTGCCGATGATTATCTTGATAAAGACTTTGATTTCCTAGAATTAAAAGTTGTTTTGTCCAGCTTGAAAAATAATAAAGCACCGGGCCTAGATAGAGTCCCATATGAGTTTTATAAGAATGCCCCAGACCTATTTTTGACTAAGCTACTTAGTATTTATAATGACATTTTTCGGAATAAGGTCATGCCTGAAAGCTTTAAGAAATCGATAGTTTTTCCATTGTTTAAAAAGGGTGATATTAATTCAGTTCAAAATTATAGAGGATTGTCTTTTATAAATTGTATTGGTAAAATATTTATAGGAATGCTAAATAATAGACTTACAAATTGGGTCAATGAAAACCACATCTTATCGGAGTTCCAGGCGGGTTTCAGACAAAACTATTCCACTATAGATAATATTTTTAATTTGGCATCGATGATCAAACTACGTTTAGCGGAGAAAGGTGGCAAATTGTATGCATTTTTTGTGGATTTTTCAAGTGCGTTTGACACTATTGATAGACGATCGCTTATGTTAAAACTTTCATCAATCGGCGTATCAACGCACGTTTTAGATGTTTTGAGGAGTTATTATTGTAACACATCTGCAGCGGTTTGGTGTAAGGGCGGCATTTCAGATGAGTTTGAGACAAAGACAGGTTTAAGACAAGGATGTATAGGAAGTCCTCTCCTGTTCAGCTTATTCGTAAATGATTTGCCAGAGGTGCTGGAAGGTGGCTGTAATTTCGGTGGAAAGAGAGTAAATGTTTTGATGTATGCAGACGACATCGTATTGTTGGCCCCCACAGCAACAGCATTACAAATGATGATTAAAAACTTGGAGTGTTACAGTGCAATTTGGAACCTTACAGTAAATATATCCAAATCCAAAATAATGGTTTTCAGGAAAGGTGGTAGATTATCAGGACATGATAGATGGTGGTATAAGGGCAAACAGGTTGAAGTGGTAGATAGTTATAAATATTTGGGAATGTTATTTACAACGACATTGTCATGGGAAAAACATTTCATAGAGAAGAGGAGGCTAACTAATTATGCAATTAATTCAGTATGGCAAAGGCTAGTAGACAACAACAAAGTCCCGATGCAGATTAAAATATTATGCTTCGAATCTATTCTCAGAGCTATTTTGTGTTACGGCGCACAAGTTTGGGGGTTTTCAGAAATTTCTCAGTTAGAAAATGCTCAGAAAACGTTTATTAAAAGGATGTTTAGATTGCCACATAACACTCCCAACTATATTGTTTACTTAGAAACATGTTTTGAAAAGTTGTATTTCTTTAATCTACAAATTAACGCAACATACATTTTTAAGGTTTTTAATATGCCAGAATCACGCCTACCAAAAATTATTGCTAAATCTGTAATTGGAAAAGGTATTTTTTGGGCCAAAGAGTGGAAATGTCTAGGGCGAAAACACGGTTTGGACATTAATTTCGAGTCAGCAGATGTTTTTGAGGGATTAGTGAAGATAATTGAGGCGGAAAGAGATAGCTGGAGAATTGATATGGTTGGCAGAGCGCGTACATCGCAACATCACCAACAACTGCTTGCCGTTGACCTTGACCTAGGGCCCAGGAGTTTTCTCACTGATAACATCAATATAAGTCTTATCTCATGGGTCATTAAGGCCCGAGCAGAGCTGGTTGATTTGAATCACAAACCATGGATAACGAATAAAAATCATTTCTGTAGTTTGTGCAATTTGCGTGAATTTGAAACAGTTTTTCATTTTGTTTCTATTTGCCCAATTTTAGGTGATATCAGGGAGTATTGGTTTGGAAAACGAAGCATGCATTGGGAAGAACACATAGAATACATAAATGGTAGGGATTGGCGTAAATTAGCAAACTTTATGAGGGAGGCGTGGAGAAGGAGGTGGGAGTTAATTAGAGAATTTAATTACGAATAAATAAAATGATTATTTTTTTCAAATTCAAAATTGTTTTATTATCTTTCTAATTTATAAATTAAATCAAAACAATAATTATGTCAAACAGCTTGTCAGCCTGTCTTCTTAAATATTCATAGTAATTTTCATAGTTTTCATTATGCGTAAACCTTATAAAATTCTAATAATTTAAAAAAATAAAATAATAAAAGTTATGTAAACAATATTATGAAAAAGGTATTTTTTTTTTTAGTTTTGTTGAAAATGGATGTAAAATTGTATGTAAATTTATGTATGTTAGTAAGTGTATTTTGTTTCAACTTAATTTTCATAAATGTGTTTTCCAGGTGTGCCAACCAAACAGACGGTCGTAGACCATTGTTTAATTGAGTGTATGCTTGTGTTATAAGAGGAATGTTTATGTTAAAATAAAGCACTTTATTCATTCATTCATTCATTCATATTGAATTTAAGTTTTATAAAATCTATAAAATCAATGGTAGATGTGTAACATTGCAAACACATATATGCGCCAACCTTGTACGAAGGACTGGTACTCTGCTAGTAGCTTATAAATAATAAATATATATCGACAAAACGTTCGTTGACACTGCTCGAAGTAAATCATTTATACAGTTTAAAACGGGCAAATAAGACCTGGTTATATTGCAACAAAATAAAACTTTTAGAGGACCTATCGTTGTGCAAACACAAAAACTAAACATCCATATCATAACCGTTAAGAGTCCTTTTAAAATAATAGTGTTCCAGCATCCGTCAATTTATATAATACCAAATAACCACGTTACGAAAAGTATATACATGCCTTGAATACGATGTAAATCCCAACAAGTAGAGTTCTCCCCGCACTACACTGAACACTAGATGGTTGACAGCTGACAAGACTTCAAGGTCCATCCTCTTATATCCCGTGTGTCTTGGTTCCACTGGACCGTGCGCTATGGCCCACCCTGGTTCACAAGGATTCACCAAGCGGAACATGTTTTGTGAGTGTTTTCAGACGTTTTGTAGAGCTCTTTATTAACTAGGACTTCATTAACTGGAACCTCATCACACTTAAGACACGTTCCAGTTAGAAAAGTATCTTCCTTGAGTTGAATTCTCGCGGACGCTAAACGACATGTGCAATGGTTCGCAAAATGTTAAGTCTGAGAAATACATGTTGAGTTACGTTTCTTTGGCTACAATACTAAAAGGCTATGACATTTTTCATCGTGTCAATCAAAATTATAGTAAGGCGTTTACTGAGGAGGACGTTCTAACTGACAAACCCATCATTTTGCATTTCGGTGGAAGCATATCTAAAAGCAATAGGAAATTGACGGTGTATAAGCCCGAACCTCCATTATGAGATTATGAGGAGTTGATATTCAGTCCACCCTAAAATACAAAGATTGCCAGATCGTTGCTTTGACGTGTCACAGGTCTATGATTCTAGATCAGCCGGCCATTTGTCTAAAAGCCGGCCATACTAGTCAAAACGCTCATGATGCTTATCAATATCATATTTACGTTATGATGCAATAGTCAGATCTTGTTTATTTTGCAATATTAAAAAACATTCTCTAACGCTGGAAAGAACGACGCCTTAGTAAAAACAAACACATTTCACTCTCTTATAATCTTAATTTTATGCTCTCATTCGAAATCCACATCTCTAATCTGATCTTAAAGAATTAATTGCCTGCTAATTTTTCGAGTTGAGAGCGTCTGTAACAAAGATTCTCTTACGCTTTTCTGAGCAATTGCAACAATAAGCGCGACATAATTGTTTGGATTGTCACAGTAGCGCTTATCAGGTGATGATCTGCTTGCGCGTGTGTTCCCTATATCAACACAGCACGAGGTGACGAAGACGTAGTGTGTAGATGTAGTGTTGTGTAGAACGATGGTGGTGTGGACAGTTGTGCTGTGTATAGCTTGTGTGGTTAGTGGACATGTAATCTCACAGCTGGACTATACAAACGAGATACAGGAGGATACTGACGAGCTGAAGGTGATTAGAGACGTTATCAAAGTTGACTTCGGTGGTGACGTGGACGAGAGACATGGCGCTCCTAGAGGTGAGACGGACAATTCTACAGTACTGGCCTGCAAGCTTATGTTAGACACTGTTAATAGCTTAGATTTTTTAAAGACAAATCTTCAGGGAAACGGGTTTAAGCTAAAACCTGCATTATTTAATTTTCAGGAAACACATTCAACGACGAGTGCAATACACAGTTGACAAACCGATGATCCATAATTTAATACAACAAAAGATTCTTTCCAGATAACATTATGAGTATTTAGGAAATTACTAATACAAACTAGTCTGCCAATTCAATGACGCGGATCATCTCCCGATCACAAAGATGGAGCTGTCTTTAATCCGCATGGAAACGTCCTACTGTTAGCAATTTTATTGCAGAGCACTCTGCTTATTTCCTAATGCAACACTAGTTGTTGCACTTTGATTAATGCTACATCTACTTTAATTTTCCATTTAGAAAAATATGATTCTAAACAAATGGGAGTTTTTAGAAGGAGGGAGTTTTGGGAAAATGTTTGTCGTTGTTCTAAAATAATCGTAAAAATTTACAAAAACATTTGAAATTAGTTACACTTTTTAGTATAATTTTTATGTTATAGTATTTTTAATGTATGCAATTTGTGTGGTTTATATTACGACTTGCAAATTATAGACAAGTTTTAACCGTAGAACGTTAAAGTTATAACGGGATATTGTTCATAATTAAGAAAGAGCTAAACTTTGTACAAATCTCACTAACATATAGACAACTAACGTGCAAGTTTTTTTATACATTACGTAATTTTATTCACACACGATCATTCAGAGCCAGTGATAGGCCTATGCTACTTTTACGCATTCCAATTAGAACAAGTTAGTTTCAATTTTGTAGTTGAAATTCGTCACTATTCTCATGACAAAAAGAATAGACTGCATTACAAAAGTACTACCCTATAAAAATAATTATTTCAAAGTTCATTGTGACTTCAGTAAATCAAAAATCTTCTTCATGCTTTTGTAGCGGACTCCAAAGACATGCTGTATCCTATCCTCATTGGGGTGGCAGCCAAGATAGTGTCTACCATCCCTCTGTTTCTCACCTCTCTAGCCCTAGTGGCTGGCTACAGTTTGGCTACCAGTAAAGCAGCATTGCTACTTGGGGGTATCGCCGTGGTCTACCACTATATCAGGTGAGAAAACGTCAGTTTACAATTATGATAGTGTCTACCATCCCTCTGTTTCTCACCTCTCTAGCCCTAGTGGCTGGCTACAGTTTGGCTACAAGTAAAGCAGCATTGCTACTTGGGGGTATCGCCGTGGTCTACCACTATATCAGGTGAGAAAACGTCAGTTTACAATTATGATAGTGTCCACCATCCCTCTGTTTCTCACCTCTCTTGCCCTAGTGGCTGGCTACAGTTTGGCTACCAGTAAAGCAGCATTGCTACTTGGGGGTATCGCCGTGGTCTACCACTATATCAGGTGAGAAAACGTCAGTTTACAATTATGATAGTGTCTACCATCCCTCTGTTTCTCACCTCTCTAGCCCTAGTGGCTGGCTACAGTTTGGCTACAAGTAAAGCAGCATTGCTACTTGGGGGTATCGCCGTGGTCTACCACTATATCAGGTGAGAAAACGTCAGTTTACAATTATGATAGTGTCTACCATCCCTCTGTTTCTCACCTCTCTAGCCCTAGTGGCTGGCTACAGTTTGGCTACCAGTAAAGCAGCATTGCTACTTGGGGGTATCGCCGTGGTCTACCACTATATCAGGTGAGAAAACGTCAGTTTACAATTATGATAGTGTCTACCATCCCTCTGTTTCTCACCTCTCCAGCCCTAGTGGCTGGATACAGTTTGGCTACCAGTAAAGCAGCATTGCTACTTGGGGGTATCGCCGTGGTCTACCACTATATCAGGTGAGAAAACGTCAGTTTACAATTATGATAGTGTCTACCATCCCTCTGTTTCTCACCTCTCTAGCCCTAGTGGCTGGCTACAGTTTGGCTACCAGTAAAGCAGCATTGCTACTTGGGGGTATCGCCGTGGTCTACCACTATATCAGGTGAGAAAACGTCAGTTTACAATTATGATAGTGTCTACCATCCCTCTGTTTCTCACCTCTCTTGCCCTAGTGGCTGGCTACAGTTTGGCTACAAGTAAAGCAGCATTGCTACTTGGGGGTATCGCCGTGGTCTACCACTATATCAGGTTTGATAACGTCAGTTTACAATTATGATAGTGTCTACCATCCCTCTGTTTCTCACCTCTCTAGCCCTAGTGGCTGGCTACAGTTTGGCTACCAGTAAAGCAGCATTGCTACTTGGGGGTATCGCCGTGGTCTACCACTATATCAGGTTTGATAACGTCAGTTTACAATTATGATAGTGTCTACCATCCCTCTGTTTCTCACCTAACTAGCCCTAGTGGCTGGCTACAGTTTGGCTACCAGTAAAGCAGCATTGCTACTTGGGGGTATCGCCGTGGTCTACCACTATATCAGGTTTGATAACGTCAGTTTACAATTATGATAGTGTCTACCATCCCTCTGTTTCTCACCTAACTAGCCCTAGTGGCTGGCTACAGTTTGGCTGCCAGCAAAGCAGCATTGTTACTTGGGGTCTACGCCATCAGGTTTGATAACGTCAGTTTACAATTATGATAGTGTCTACCATCCCTCTGTTTCTCACCTCTCTAGCCCTAGTGGCTGGCTACAGTTTGGCTACCAGTAAAGCAGCATTGCTACTTGGGGGTATAGCCGTGGTCTACCACTATATCAGGTGAGAAAACGTCAGTTTACAATTATGATAGTGTCCACCATCCCTCTGTTTCTCACCTCTCTTGCCCTAGTGGCTGGCTACAGTTTGGCTACCAGTAAAGCAGCATTGCTACTTGGGGGTATCGCCTCGGTCTACCACTATATCAGGTTTGATAACGTCAGTTTACAATTATGATAGTGTCTACCATCCCTCTGTTTCTCACCTCTCTAGCCCTAGTGGCTGGCTACAGTTTGGCTACCAGTAAAGCAGCATTGCTACTTGGGGGTATCGCCGTGGTCTACCACTATATCAGGTGAGAAAACGTCAGTTTACAATTATGATAGTGTCTACCATCCCTCTGTTTCTCACCTCTCTTTTCGTCTTATAGTTTATTTATTGCATCTTTTCAAACAAGGCCTAAGCCCTAGTGGCTGGCTACAGTTTGGCTACAAGTAAAGCAGCATTGCTACTTGGGGGTATCGCCGTGGTCTACCACTATATCAGGTTTGATAACGTCAGTTTACAATTATGATAGTGTCTACCATCCCTCTGTTTCTCACCTCTCTAGCCCTAGTGGCTGGCTACAGTTTGGCTACCAGTAAAGCAGCATTGCTACTTGGGGGTATCGCCGTGGTCTACCACTATATCAGGTTTGATAACGTCAGTTTACAATTATGATAGTGTCTACCATCCCTCTGTTTCTCACCTCTCCAGCCCTAGTGGCTGGCTACAGTTTGGCTGCCAGTAAAGCAGCATTGCTACTTGGGGGTATCGCCGTGGTCTACCACTATATCAGGTGAGAAAACGTCAGTTTACAATTATGATAGTGTATACCATGCCTCTGTTTCTCACCTCTCCAGTCCTAGTGGCAGGTGAGACATAACACAAGGGTATCAGCGAATATGTTGCTATAATTGAATTTTTTTCAACGTCATGCAAAATGGCGGACTAAATTCAGACTAATCCACATAAGAATGGTTGAATGGTGTAATAACAAATCATGGAGCGTGTTTCTCTAAAATAGATCATCAGCAATTGATTTGGTGAGCTAAACCATAGGTAAGCTAAATTTTATTTGTTTCAGTGAAGGGAGTTTTCTGTCCCCTGTAGCCAAGCACTGGAAGCATCTGCCAGACTGGGGTGCTGCTATGTTGTCACATTACGGGTACCATCCACCGTTACACGGGTACCCTGGCCTCGGGTACCACAGGGACAGGAACGACCGTAATTCTGATATTCAACTGACTGACTAATCGGGCAACCACATCACACGAACTGCAGGGAGGAGGATAAACCTGGACAACCCGAAAATTGTAATACTGTAGTTATAATTATTGTGTACAAAATTTTGAAATTCGGCATGCTTCCTGTGGTTTTCAAAACATTCATTGTCAATGTGTATTTAATTTCTTAAACACACTTAAGCGTCCAGAAATTTGGAATTATTACAAGAAATGATTACTTTGTTAAGTTTTAATACTTTCAAACTAAATCAACCTAATTGGAATTCTAGATCCCAATAAAAATATAATATTTTTAAAAAAACACCGAATGTTTATTTCTTCACCATTTAAATATTTACTTTATTTAGCGAAAAAAATCCTTCATCTTTCTACTAACATACCATTTTACACTTCCTCGTACAAAATGGGATCCCAGACACACTTATTGTGGAATGCTAGTAAACTGAACAACCTAATTCACTTTTGATGTAATTATTGTCCATTTCTCGGCCGCGGTAGAAGTGGGCCGCGGAAGGACGTGTTTTGGGCTGGGCTGGTAATGAACGCCGCTGCCGCTGGTCCAAATACTGCAGCGTAGTCGTCAGCTGTCACGTAAGTGGCTCTGCCGCCAACTGACCCTCTTGTTCTTGTATTGTCTGTCTTGGTTATACCAGCTGACTCCAGAGTAACTCACGGTGAGCTGCAACAATCGTATACAGAATACTGATACTGTACATCATGAACATATCGCTGAACAAATCTCCATCGGTTAGGGTTAGATACTAATCTCACAGTGGCTCCTGGACTACGTTGGATGCTTTGCAGGTCCTAGAAGCTTCGGAAAATCATCATAAGCCACCATAAATAGGCCTATGGTATTTGCTTAATCTGGGCAGCCAGTTGTCAATTGTTTACAAAATGCCATTCTGCTAGTTAGGCATGTACCATTGTAAACTACGTAGCTACTGTATATACAGGATCGTTATATGGTTCCTTATACATTTATTTTTCCTACAATATACAATTAAATTGAGTTTCACTGGTGTTTCAATGAGTTCACCTTAGACGATTGATATGTGCTTTGATGCGAAGATAGTGAAATACTGCTAGGACGTAGGTTTCATGGACAAGCCAGCGAAAATAGCTCGACTAGAACCAGTGATACTACCACTGAGCCACCTTGATCAGTAAATGATTTTCTGTAGTTCAAGATCAGAATAAAATTAAAATATGAACTGTAATGCTAGACATAAACCTCAAGTAATTGTACTAATTCAGCTCAGTCATGGGGAAAATAATACAGCCTCATCCTTACAAAAAACCGACGAGTCTGTAGCGTGACCCATATAGACGGTGGACTAAATCCACAACTACGTCTTTACGTCGCATCAGTTAATCGGCGAACGATGAAAATCAGCAAACTGTCCTACAAAAACTGGGGCTATTAACAATCTTAAATTCGACTTTCGTTTCGATTTCACTGTATCGTGCAGATGACTCGGGTATTGTCGAAGAGGAGAGGAAGATGGAAGATAAGATGATTCATTAACCTGATTAACACCGGTCAGAGCAGAGGAAAGTGGCTCTCGACCTCGTCTGTACACGCACACACGCACACACACACACACACATGCCCACCAGCGCACACACACACACACAGCGTCCTCCTACGTAAAACTTTCATATAACATCTAATTGGCTCAGTGATTTGTTTCTGTTGTTCACCTCTCGATAATCTCTCATCAATGACTTAGAGAAATTGCGAACGGAAATGTCTTTTCGATGATAAATTACTTTGAGAGTCTAATCTAAATGCATATTCACCTTCTTGATTTTAATTATCTGTTGTTGGTTGTTCACTATGACTCATTATAACTTCACTTACAGTGAGATAGATGTCTTAAACACAACACTCTACATACTAATTTTACAAATTGATTGAGAACTCCTTTTCCCCATAGTCCTTTAAGGTGACACAGTACTCCCTATCCCGCCCATGTTAAAATGACATTTTTTAGGTACACATAACTTTTACAAATATTAACCTATCAACTTGAAATTTTTCTACTAAGTTTAATACATTATTACCAACAATAATATGAAACAAAAAAAGTTTTTGAGCAAAATTAAATTGTTAGTATGATTTTAAAAATTTTATAAAATATTTTGTAATTTTTTAACATAAAATATTTTTTATTTCAAAGGTTTTTGGATGTCATGGAAACTGATTCGTATTATTGTTCCTTATCATATGAGGAACACACACCAATTTGTATTGAAATTGGATTATAATTGAGGAAGAAAAGTGTACCTGACTAAAAACCACTTGACTTTCGGAAAACGACATAAGTACCCCCTGTCACGGGTAGTAGTAGGACCCTTGGGCATGCTAAAGTAAGAGTGTATAAAAGCTTAAAATAATTTTTTCTTCCATAATATTTGGTATGTACGTGTTCAGGAAAGTGTGTTCTACAAAACTAAATAATAAAAAATGTTAAAAAAAATTTAATATTTGACGGCGTACCCTCTGCGTCAGGACCTTGGACATGCTAAATTAGGCTGCAATAGTTTATAAAAGTAGTTGAAAATTTGAAAAAATATTTTTTTCTTCCTTAATTTTTATTATCTACGTGTTCAGAAAAGTCTGTTCTACAAAACTAAATAATAAAAAAAATAAAAAAAATGTATATTTGAGTACTGTGTTACCTTAAATGCTGCGAAAACACATTTAACCAACCAATTTGAAAACCAATGTTTTGGAAATGATAGTAATCATGGTTTATGTTCAAAACTAGATTTTCGATCTTATTACCTGCTTACTTTGTAACATATACCGAGTCCATAGACAGTTAGTTATATAGTCCAAAAGCTTTCAACTTCAAAATTCTTCACTTTGGTTTTAGGCATCCACAATAACAGCATTACCAAATAAGCTTACTAAATTTCTGCTATTTTAATATGTTTATCTCAGTCTTTGCTCAGATAACAACAACAAAGTTGGCTTGTGCACATTCGGAAATACCGTTTTTTACAGCATTATTCATTAATTTTTATCCAGCTCGCCCTCGTGTGAGCCGATATAAAGAGTGACACAGTGACTATGTACGTGATAGACTGATCTATAATCGACCTACTTACACGATTACAGTTGCAAATACACAAACCGAGCTGGTTTCCAAGCTTCTCATCGATTCTCTATGCCGTTTCACTCCACTTTCAAAGCCATCTATGAAATTGATGGACTTGTAATGGGTATCCATTCTTCCCCAGTGTGGGCCTATGACCCGTCGCCGGAGCCCTGGGAAGCCCTTTGTCAGGGCACAACACTCTCCACAGCGTGTCTTCGCATTGTCCTGGCACAGTAGCTTCTAGCTGCATCAAGCACCGCTTGGTAAAACCTACGTTGATTTGGCGGAGTTCAGCAGATTAAGACTATCGGAAAATTCATTTTCAAGTCTGAACCTCACTGTTGTTTACGTGAAGTTCCAGTAGCTCATTGCTGTGTACACAACCAGTAACATTCTTGAATAACAACATTCCTAAATGTACACACTTGTTTCATAAAGATCATAAAGTTCATAAAATAAACAAGTAGGAGAACAGAGAGAATTTTCGTAAAATAGTTTGATTAAGCTTTATTTAGTGCACATCGTCGTACATTATCAACCAAACTTGAAATAGGTACTCAATTATATACTTCGGTTTTTTACTGAAATTATAGGACCAATATGCTTGTTTTCCACTCCTTGAAGGCCACAGATACACTCTGCAACCTTGATGAGGCCCCTCTAACTGCACTATTTGTACGATACTTATGATTATGAAGTAAGGGCACAAATGTGTTTGCTGCCATATGCGTTGTTTCTATAAATTAAAAACCTAGGACGAATTTGCTTTTAGTCTATAATTTGATTTAAAATAACGAAAACCAACTAAGTAAAAATATAAACTCTAATGGGTTAAAAGCTCCGTATTTGCGATATAAGGATAATGTAAGAGCAGTTTCGTCTCGAGTGGCATCTGCCACAAGAAAGTGACAACTGGGGAAAGTGAGACAAGCCAAATAACGAGCACCACCCGGATGTGATTTGCCGAAAGTGGAACCAAAGCCAATGTCATAAAAAGATGTAACAAGAACCAATGTTTGGTCACCAGCGTTCCTACTGGGAGCGACTGGGGTTCCACTATAATGACGTCACAAGTGATAACAGTTGTAAAACTAGATTTTCAAAACTGTTTAAAAAATGTATCCAGTAATTAATAGCTTCATCAGTGCTTTGCAATGGCGTAGAAATAACTTTTGTCGAGCAACTACATTAACAAAGCTTATGTAGTTATGTAAATCCAATGATCAATTGCTAAGGATTTGTATAAAATTC